GCAGCCCCTACAGCTGCACTGATGGTGGAAGCAACAGCAGACTTGGTCCTGTCCACACTGTCCTCCACAATGTGCTTACTGAGGTCCACAGCCTCTGTCACCTTGTTGGTCACCAGCTCCTTGGCACCTTGGGCAGCCTCCACAGCGTTGACAATGGTGGAAGCAACAGCAGACTTGGTCCTGTCCACACTGTCCTCCACCATGTGTTTGGTGACATCCACGGCCTCTGTCACCTTGGTGGTCACCAGCTCTTTGGCTCCCTGAGCAGCCTCCACAGCACTGTTAACAGTGGAGGTGACCACTGACCTGGTCAGCTTGACACTGTCCCCAACCACATTTTTGGTGAGGTCCACAGCTTCGGTGACTTTATCAGCCACGGCTTCTCTGGCCTCACAGGCAGCGTCCATGGCAGATGTGACCTTGGTGGAAACCAGCTGCTTGGTGTCCGAGAGCACCTACAGCAGAGGGAGAGGCAGAGAAAGATATTTTAGGGGATAAAAAAAAGTATGTGTCCAGTTCTGGGCCCCTCAGTTCAAGAAGGACATTGAGGGGCTGGAGCAGGTGCAGAGGAGAGCAACGAGGCTGGGGAAGGGACTGGAGCACAAGTGCTGTGAGGAGAGGCTGAGGGAGCTGGGGCTGTTCAGCCTGGAGAAGAGGAGGCTCAGGGGAGACCTCCTCACTCTCTGCAACTCCCTGACAGGAGGGGGGAGCCAGGGGGGGTTGGTCTCTTTTCCCAGGCAACCATCAGCAAGACAAGAGGGCTCGGTCTGAAGCTGTGCCAGGGGAGGTTTAGGTTGGAGATTAGGAAGAATTTCTTTGCAGAGAGGGTGCTCAGCCCTTGGAATGGGCTGCCCAGGGAAGTGGGGGATTCTCCATCCCTGGAGGTTTTTAAGCTGAGACTGGATGTGGCATCAGTGCCATGGGCTGGGAACCACAGCGGGGTTGGATCAAGGGTTGGACTTGATGATCTCAGAGGTCCCTTCCAACCCAGCTGATTCTCTCATTCTATAATTCTATGATTTCCTCCCTGAAAAACCCTTTCCATGTCGGTTAGTTCACTTGCAATCTGTGGGGGAGCTGGGGAGGTCAGGACACCCATAACTCACATGGACATGTTCACTCCCACATGTTGAAGGCACCTCTGCAGCTTTCCCCAGCTGGCAGTGCCTCCTCTAACCTATTCCAGGGACTGGCCTGACACAGCCCTGCTGAAGTTTATTCCCTCATATTCTTCTGTACCCAAAACAGGTCCATCAAGCCACGGATTTCCCAGGAAAAGCCTTTTCTCTACCTTGTCTGCTGGCTGCTGAAGGAAGGGCAAGTTCTCCTCCAGCTGATCCAGTCCTTTGCAGGCATATTCATTCACAAGTGCAACTAGGAGAGACAACAGGTACCAGTTTATCCTTCAGTTTGGGGAGGGAGTTTTGATCCTACAATGCCCGGTTCAGGATACACCCATGAAAGCAAGGCCAAAAAATGTAAATCACCATTCTAGGGTGGGACATGTGTGGTTGTCTCGTTAAAAAGTGAACAAACCCTACAATTTGGCAGGTTCAAATAGTCTCCACTTTGCCTTCCCAGCTTTCTAGCTATAGAATTTCCTCCAGCTGGAGTGTAGCACTTGCCCTTGGCGGGTAAAGCAATGGGTTTAAAGGGTTCAAAAGTGTTGGGATGAGCCAGACTGAGCTATATCCAAGATGGACACTGCTCCTACCAGCTGGGATGGTCAGAACTTGGGAGTGACAGAGAAAGAAAAGGCAGTTTCTACTTTGTAACTTAAAGAGACCAAATTGTTTCTGCCAGTAACAGTTTGTGTCCATGAAATTCAGCATCCAGGAGCTGCTGAGTGGGAGACCCAGCGCTAGGATGAGCTACACCAGGGTGCTGTAGGAGCTGGGGATCACCCACCAGGCACATGAAAACCCCCTCCCCACCTACTCCTCTGTTCCCAGGGTCTCTCCAGCCCCTGCACTCACTGTGTGGCTCCAGCTGGTTCAGGATGGGCTGTGCCCCTCCGACCACACTGCCCACTGCCACGGCAGCCACCGTCTCAGCCACGTTGCAGACACCACTGAGGCAAGGGTGGGACTCCTTGGTGTGGTTGTAGGCAGAGGAGACCAGGTTGAAGGCAGAGTTGAGCAAGGGCAAGCTGGTCACTCGGGTGACAGCACTCTGAAACCCAGGAGAAACAGTGACATCAGAGCCCAGCCTCGAGCTGGGGGGTGAACACAGCCATGGGTCTGTCCAGAAAGGTCCCAAGGGCACAGCAAACCCACCTCCTAATCCTTCTTAAACTCAGGGCTGGGAATACTCATCCCAAGGCCTCTACCAAGCCAGGGTTAACAGTCTGAGCTCTGGGCTTGTGGATTCTGAGTCACGCTGGTTTCAGCACCAAAGCAGATGTGGAAGTAGGACCTGTAAGCTCATGTTTCAGAATTACTTGCATCACTTGAGCCAGTCCAGAAGCTCTCTGGAGCCAAACAGTTTCCTCCTGTGTTAAGGGAGTTTCGATTTGGCCACAGCTTCGTGTGGTTTATCTTTCTGTGCCCCCACCCTGGTTTTGGGGAGGGCTGGCAGAAGTTTTCCAGAGTTGTTTAGTGTTGCTCTGGCACCTACCGCTTGCTGCTGCTCCTCAGCCTTCAGCAGGTCTGGTTTTGGGGTCTTTCCTGAGGCCATACTGAATTCAGCTGCAGCTGAAAGGAAAAACAAGGGTTTAACAACACAAGTGCAACTTCATTTCCTCCAGTGAAATGAAATCCTACCAAAACAGGTGAAAAGCAGAGGGCAACAAAGCTGGGATCCACCTTTCAGCTGTGCCAGGGGTGGTTCAGGTTGGGCATCAGGAAGAATTTCCTCACTGAAAGGGTTGTTAAACATTGCAAGGGGCTGCCCAGTGACCATCCCTGGAGGTGTTCAAAGGACAACTGGACATGGCACTCAGTGCTCTGGACAATCAAAGGTTGGACTCAATCTTGGAGGTCTTTTCCAGCCTCAATGATTCTGTGTCCTAGACACATCAGTGGCATCACTTCCTTGCAAGTGTGTGAAGGTATCTGAGAGGCTCCATGATTTATGATGGGCAAATATCTACACAGGGCCAGGACTGTGTTCAGTCACCTCCCTCAGGCCCCAAACAGCCACCACTTTAAACAGCCACCTACTTATTTTATTGCTGATAACATTTCACTGGCTAAAAGTTGCAGGTTGGAAATAGGTGAGAACTGTCTTATCTGTCATGTCTTTGCTCTGGGTGGTGGGGTGACCATGGCTGGACACCAGACACCCACCAAAACCACTCCATCACTGCCCTCCTCAGCTGGGCAGGGCAGAGAAAATATAACAAAAGGTAGAGATATTATATATATCTATATATATGTCATATATATAAATATAACATGAGTGGACATAAGGACAGGGAGGGATCACTCACCAATTATTGTCATGGGCAAAACAGGCTCAATTTGGGGAAAAATTAATTTCTTACCAATCAAATCAGAGTGGGATAATGAGGAATAAACCCAGATCTTAAGACAACTTCCTCCCACCCCTCCCTGCTTCCCAGGCTCAACTTTACTCCTGAGTTCTCCACCTCCTCCCACCCAGCAGAGCAGGGGGACAGGGAATGGGGGTTGTTTATAGCCCCTTTCCTCTGGAGTATCCTCTGCAATGGACATTCAGATGAGTTAATTTGGAGTCACCCCCCTTTGCCTGTGTTCATAGGGAAGGACTTTTTTCAGCTTCTCCAGCACTGCCAACTCCAGCACCACTGGCAGGCTCAGGGCTCTGAAATCCCATGGAGTTTTCCCAGGAGGATGAGCCAGGTTTCCCAGTTGCAACATTCCAGCTTGAATCTTACCTTCCCATCCTACTAAACAGGAAATCTGTCCTCACTTGCTGTGAAACCAAGGCTCAGAGGCATTCTCATGACATAACAGGATTAAAGAAATGTAAAATGATGCAACAATTTAAATGTGTGTTGCCCTCCCCAGGACAGAGCTCAGTTGGTATCTGGACACTCCAGTATTGGCAATAAATCCAGGATTGCTGCTCAGCCTTAGTCAGGCACAGCAGGGATTTGTGCACATTTGTTCTTCAGTACAGAGTCTGTTTTCCTCTCCTTTACCAGTTAATTCCTATTCTTAGATTTGCTGCAGCATTTTCCAATGGAAAACTCTCAAACCAAAATTCCTCCCAGACTGGATTCCCAAGCCACACACTGCTCCAGGCTCCCTGGCAGACTCTACCCCCAAAAAAACTTGCCATCTGATTCATGGCAGAGCCCATTGTCTTGTTTCTTGTGTTCTTTGCCTCATGTAAGGTTTTTATTTTACTGAAAAAAGGGAACAGAGCTGTGGAGAAGCAGTGAAACCAGCAATTGTGAGCCCTGGGCTGGGCTCTGACACTGGCCAGAGACATCTCAGGAGGTGACTTGGCAAAACATCAAATATTGCTGCATTAACCACTCAATTAGTCAGAATTCAGTGAGATTTGAGCAGGGCAGGGATGCAGAGTTGTCACCTCCAGCCCCTTCCAGCCAGGAGCCACAACACTCCTCTGGGAATCCCACCTCATTTAACTGCACAGCAAAACCAGCTTGAACTTCACCAGCCTGGGAGAACTTGCAGAAAACTGCTCCCTACAAAGCAGGGCTTGAATGTCAAAATCTCAGTCCCAAAGTCTGGGATTTGGTGCCAGTGGTTGTTCCTCTTGCTTTGCTTTCAGGCAGGTTTGCTGTTCCTTTGAGTCCAAGCAGGCTGACTCAGGCCAAAGCACAGCTCTTTCAACACCACCACAAACAACCCCTTTGCTCAGTTATTTTACTTCCAAACAGGTGGGAAAAGCTCAAACTGTGGAGTTTGACACCGTGGTCTCAGTGTCAGGGTCAGCACAGACAGGGAGGAAGAGGAGAGGATGGAAATCAGAAATAACTCCTTGGCTGATATAAAACCTGACAGAAGGTTAGAATCCACCTCTGAAGTACAGAGGATTAATTATGGATGCAGCCTTGTCAGGGATAATCCTTCAGCACAGTCATGTTAGAACAAGGTTTGCTCTCTGTGTAGGAGAAATCCACGTGTTGCAACACCAGGATTTGCAGTGTGGGCAAATCTCCACAAACCCACAGCGTGGTTTCATTTTCTCTTTCCCCTGCAAAAGTGCTGAACAGCCCTTGTTTTACTTCAGGGACTGCAGGAAAACACAGTGCTTGGCAACTCTGGGTCAGCTGCTCCAGAGGGCACAGCCAAGGCAGGATTTTGCTGGGAGTGGAAGTCCCAGCGGGCAGAGGAGCAGGAACAGCATCACTGGTTGCTTTGGTTGTGGTTTGCTTCATATGAAAGTGAAGAGCAGATGATTTCATACCATTACTGCATCAGAAATATTAGGTCACTGCTGGAGAAAGTTCTTGAAACGGTGGTTTCAGGGCGATGAAACTCTGCAGTTGCACTTTTCTGGGATCAAGGGCTGAACTGCTGAATTGTTGCCCAGTTGGACACAGGTCTGAATTCAGTGAAAGAGAAAGGGCTGGCACCAAACAGCAGGACAGTGGCACCAAACCCATCCAGCTGCTCCATTTCCCTGCCTTGGTCAGGCTCATCCCACACTGGCCTGGCAGAAGAGCCAGCAACTTTCCTGCTGGGATCAGCACCTCCCTGATTTCTCTCACTCTGACTGTGATCAGTGTACACAGAGCTGGTTCTTTAACTCCCCTTGGCTGAAAGGTTCCTATTTTCCCTGTGGAAAGCAGCTCTGCTCCACAAAAACAGGATGCTGGTGTGTTGTCCTGCAGACACCAGTAGGATCTTCACGTTCAGGAAGCTTTTCTCCCTTCCAGAGGGATTTTACCTTGGGAAGTCAGAGCCACAGCCAGGGGGGCTGGTTGAGTAGCTTAATTGCTGATTCCTTATTGACCATTGAGGAAAACAAAGCTAAATTTAGTGCTTTAGATCTGAGCAGGGAGGGCTAATCAGGGCAGAGGTATTTGTGGTTAAAGCACTTACCTACATTCCTGTCGAGATTTGCCACTGATACCCCAGTTCCCAAAAATGCACAATTAGGTCACAGGATGTCTGTGGGGAATGGGCTGCAAATGCTCCTGAGGGCAGAGGCTCTTTTAGGAGGAACATCCAATGGTTTCCAGCTTTGGCCTCAGGGCATTAGTTTCAGGGGGACTGGCAGAGTTGCCCTCTCACCTTTCTGGATAAACCAGCAGCGTTAGGGAACCTCAAAGATCAAAAAATCACCTCTGCAGATCAGGCAGGGCTTCCCACACACAGCCTTCCAACAGGAATTAAACACCACAACCAGTGGCCATCACTGGGGCAGTCACTCCTTGGAAAAGAGATATTTTAAGGAAGACGAGAGGAAGTTTTAATTAAAACAGCTTCTCAGCACTTCTTCCCAGTTTTTCCAGGAGGGATAGACCTCTTGGTTTCAGCTGGAAGCTGTAACTTGCAGAGCAAGCAGCTCAACACATTTTCATCTGGAAGTTTCAGCAGAACCAGCTCCAGCAATTGAAATCCTTCCCAGTCATCCCCAGTCCTGGGTAGCCACCAGCACATTGAAAATCCTGTTAGTCCTGAGAAACACTGAACTGATCCAGTTTGCCAGTGCTCCCTCCAGGGATTCCTACACAGCTGCAAGGACACGGGGCTCTTGAGCAAGAGGTTCAGTCCCCTTGTCACCCAGCCACCCCCTTCCCAAACACCATTATCGTGCCTACACCAAACCATCATGTGAAAGGGCCCCGGGCAGTGCTGTCACAGGAAGGGAATGCCCGACTGATCACCTGCCCCCAGAGCACCCACTGCTCCCCACACCATCACCAGTCCCTCACGTGCTGCCCCTGGGTGGGAGTCACCTCCTGGCACAGCCGGGATCTTCAGCGGGCAACAAGCAGAAAAGAACTTTTAAACCCAAAACTTCTCCATCACAGATCCACGGAGTTACCAGGGAGCCATCCCAGAGCTAGGAAGGAGCCTTCGGGGAAGGATTTGAGTCCCGGGATGGTTTGGGTTGGAAAGGACCTTAAAGATCATCTCATTCCACCCCCCAAGCCTTCCAGCCCTTCCCCAAGGCACACAGACACATCATGACAGTGTAAAATATCACCTTTGGCCTCAAAAAGCCAAGGCATCCCCCCAAATCCCCAGAAAGCAGCAGGGGCACAGCACCCGGCTCCGTGATTTCCCAGGGAGCTGGGAAAACCCCGTGGGCACACACAGAGCCCCCGAGCAGCTCCCTGGGGCCAGGAGCCAAGGGCTGGAGGGATGGAGCCAGGTCCACCCCAGCGAGAGCTGTGAAGAGCCCCTCGAGAAATGAGGCTGCAGAACCCCTGCGAGAACAGAGGCAACCTTGGGGAGTCCCCCCCTGGGCCCCAAGACAAGTCACAAACCCCACACGAGCTCCACCTGCCCCTCCTTGCACTCCAGCCCAGCCTTACCTGGCTCAGCCCAACCTCAGCGGCTCCTCCGCTCCCGGCACTGGCAGGACTGGGAGCACTGGGCGTCGCCCCAAATAAATACCCCACGGGGCTGATGGGCAGCTCAGGGAGCCAATTGGGAGGCTGCAGGTGCCACCCTGGCCAATGGGGAGGGGGTGGGAGAGGGAGGGGCGGGAGGTGGAGGGGGTTAGGGGAGGGTCTGGGGGTCCCTCAGGGCCCTGAGGGCACTGGGCAG